TGCAGTGGCCAGAAGTTATCTACGAAATGGCAATGTTTTTTTTGTTTTTCCAAAGTTTTGAAGGTTAAACAAAGGACATGCATTAACGTTTTCTTCACTTAAAAGAAAAAATTGAAATTATTGAAAAAAATAATGCATGAACGCACACAACTGCTATTTCAAATGACAATTCAATCCGAGTGATCTTTCTAAGGTGCGAAGTTTGATAATACATCGGAAAATAATTGGCAACTGTAAATTTCAGTTAGAATTATGCTAAAACAATCAATAGATTAGTCGCTCTCAATTTCTATGAGGTGATAGCTGATGAAGCCAAAGTTGAGGTTTACAATTTAATTGTTACATATTCACACCAAGTTTGAGGCTGACAAGTATCAGTATAGCCGAGTAGTGTAGAGCTGCCAGGATTGCTCCAGATTTCAAGTGACGGGGAGGTGCCAGTAAAGGTATAAATCGGAAATCAAAACTCCTTAAAATTAACGTTCAGCTCTGGAAAGACCACTCTTAAATGCCGCTATGGTTGGCGATTTTCTAAGCGTAATGTCTAAGGAGTTCCATACATCTGCAGCAAAATTTAGAGTGGTCCAATGTCCCCATCTTCTATGAGTCGATGATTCCCGAATATTATGCTTAGACCTAGTATTATAAAATTATTATGAAAATTGTTATTGAACAAACAATGAAACAGGTGCATCAAGAGATTATTAATGGACTTGCAAGCGAAAATTAAGTGCAGTTTTCTGCCCTTTACCATTGCAAAGGCTTCCAATTTAGCATCACAAGCAAGATATTACAAATGGTGTATTACAATTATCTAGCTTAGCAAGATATTACAAAATGAAAATGAACTGTAGTATGCTATAATTTTCCTACCCCAGAAACGGACCATTTGTAATGGCTTAGTGTCCACTAGCTGCTTTAATGCAAGAAATACTCTAAACATTTCTTCACGGCTCAGTCCAATTCCAGCTTGTTCAAAGTAAAAAGTTAAATTCATGAGATCAGGAAGAGGAGTCTCAACATCTTCCTCTGTCTC